TCTCCAAACCAGTATATATCTTTCTTGTGAATAATCCTTCACATAGGCTGAAATCTTAGCCATTTCTGCTAAATTTGAAACTTTAAATGTCCAATCCTCTATAGTAGGCAAACGATCCGTTTTCCAACATTGAGCTATTAATAACCTCGCAGCAGTTATCAAATTCAACATCAATTCCATTTCTTTTTTATCCAAATTTTCCATAATACCCAGCAATGAATATTTATTTTTATCCCACCTTTATTATTTTTATAAATAACTCAAGGCAAAAAAGTGCGTAATACTCCTTCCTCCTCCTATTTTCAGCACAACAACCTTGTGAGGTAAGTTGGGTTGAGAAAAAGTGACTGGCCCAATGCCACTGAAACGGGGTTCATGCCTAAAGTGGGACAACAATTCACCATATCCTAGTTTCTAGCCTTATACTTTAACTGCTAAGAGAATTGAAGGGAAAAAAATATTATTCTTTATCTAATAACCTACTGCTAACAAACCATGGCTTAGTGCATGGGTCTCCAAACTTGGCCGCTTTAAGACTTGTGGACTTCAACTCCCAGAATTCCTCAGCCACCATGGATGGCTGAGAAATTCTGGGAATTGAAGTCCACAAGTCTTAAAGCAGCCAAGTTTGAAGACCCTTGGCTTAGTGCAATGTTTGTAGTTCCCGATGCCGATAGGAAAGAGTGGGCTTTTCCTGTCAGACGTAATAACTCTTTCTTTCCATACTAATACTAGTAGTAATCATAAATGCCCCATTCTATGCTGCCTTTCCTTCACAGCAGATAATCAATGTTATATATCCAAATATTTATCCAACACTCAGATTGAAAGTGAGCCATGAGTCATTGACCCACAAACCAATCCACTACATTTTTCTCAAGAGTGATGTGCAAATCCAGCCTATGTGGTTAGTTTATGGTGTGGTTGTGTGAATCCAGAACACTGGGCTGTTTTATAACATGTGATACTTTTAGGAATTAATGAATGTGGCAATGGGAATAGGATTGCACTCATCCTCAGATTATGAGTGTTGTCTAGTTTAAATCCTTAAAATGGATTTATAAAGTTCAGCTTCTACACTTCTCAGTCCTCTTACAATATTTCCAACTGCTAATGAACTAGATGAGGCATTTCAGTCTTATTTATTCTGAATCCATGCATAAACGTTCCTAAATTTTGGTGTTGTGGCTCTTAAGAGAGAGCTTTTCTACATCTGGGAATCAAGTACCAAGCAGAACGTTCTACAAGATTGATCTTCCAGGTCAGACCATTGCAGGTGTACCATGTTCTTTATGCACAGTGGGGCTTAAAAGTTTAGGAATCCTTTTTTAATCAACATTTCTGCATAAATATGATTTAAAATATCACCTGCTGTCCACACAAGTCCTAAAACTAAATAAAGAGAAGCCAGTTAAAAAATGAGTCAAAAATATTATACTGTACTTTTCATTGATTTATTGGGGAAATGGATTAAAGCTACACATTTGATTATTGCAAAACTATATGGGCAGCAATAACTGCAATTAAATGTTTCCAATGGCTGTTGATCAGTCCTGCACATTGGTTCGGAGGGAGGAAAATTTCTTTCATTCCCATTATTTTCCACAAAATCCCTAAGCCACAAAATTGCTGTTGGAGAATACAGTTAAGGGCAATCTGTTGTTTTCACCCTTAAGCTCAATCAAAAAAGGATAAAGATTTTTTTTTTCAGACCTGACCCTTCCAGTGATATCCTATGCAACCCTCTGGCTGATTGTGAAGTTGAATTGTAAGTCATCCACTGGTGTAGAGGCCAATGAATGGATAACTGAGATCCTTCTTGATGGACAGTTGCTAGCAGTATTTTTTCTCCTACATTATAATCCTTAACTTAGAACAGTTCATTTAGTGATGATTCAAAATTACAACAGCACTGAAAAAAGTGACTTATGACCGTTTTTCACTGTTATGACCTTTGCAGCATCCCCAAGAACTTATGATCAAAATTCAGATGCTTGGTTCATATTTATGACGGTTGCAGTGTCCCCTGGGTCCTGTGGTCACCTTTTGTGCCCTTCTGACAAGCTAGGTCAATGGGGAAGCCAGATTCACCTAACAACCAGGTTACTAGCTTATCAACTGCAGTAATTCACTTAACAATAGTGGAAAGAAAGATCGTAAAATGAAGAAAAACTCACCAAATATCTCGCTTAACTACAGAAATGTTGTGCTCGTTTGTGGTTGTAAGACAAGGACTACCTGTAAATCATTCCATTCCCCAACAGTCAGTTGGAACTAAAGAAGCTTCTTGGATGAGAAGTGAAATGTTTTCAGAAGAAAAAACCAACAAAAGTCCAGCTGCCTTTTGGGGGGGGGGGAAGCACCTTCGGGATTAAAATCAGTGGCTGTTCCTGGAAGGGCTTCTCCAAAATGATGGGATCAGTGATTGATAGCACTGATTTCACAACATCCATTGGATAAAAAAAATCAATATCCTCTCAGCCGCAGCACTGTTTTGTCAATGTTTTTGTATTCTTTCAATCCAGATTTGATTATAATTTGTTGAAAAATGTCTTTAGGCAGCACAGAGTCACCTTTTTTCTGATGTGAAGTCAAGAGGCTGAGGTTGTACAATGCTACTATCCTTGGCTTTTTCTCCATAGCAACAACATTTACCTAGCTTCTATCAGAAGATTCTTTTGTGCCTCCCTTCCGTGTTTTATCTTTCTCAGTTACAAGCTGGAGCTATTATGCCTGTACAGCAATTTGCCAGTATTTTTTTTCTATCTCTTAATTACTTCATTATTTTTCATTTGGCATTGTTCAACAATGAACAAAGGCCTCAGACTTTTCCCAAGACGAACCTGTGCTTATATTTGTGTTTGCTAAATAGAAGTCAGAGCTAGCAGTCTAGATTGGGATCATAGCTTGGGAAGGGAGAGGATTTAACCCTTCTCCAAATATATCTATGCACAGAGAAATATTTTATGTTAATAATTTTCTGTGGGCACATCCACATAGCTGTGTTTATATGGAGGTAGTCCTCAATTTACCACCATTCATTCAGTGGCCATTCAAAGTTACAACATCACTGAAAAAAGTGACATTACCATTTTTCACACAACTATTTCAGCATCTCTGCTGTCATGTGATCAAAACGCTTGGCAACTGGCATGCACTTATGACAGTTGCAGTGTCCCACTTTTTGCAGCCTTCTGACAAGCAAAATCAATGGGGAAGCCAGATTCGCTTAACAATCATGTTACTTAACAACAGCAGTGATTCACTTAACAACTATGACAAGAAAGGTTGGAAAATGGGGAAAAATTCCTTAACAACAGTCTTACTTAGCAGCAGAAATTTTGGGCTCAGTTGTGGTCATAAGTGGAAGATTACTTGCACTTTCCTTCCGTCCTTCATATGGGAAGAAAGCATGTCAGGATTAGGATTTTTGCCTCTAGAACCGACATTTTTGCAGCAACGCGAGTCTTGCTGCATAGAAAGTGAAGAAATCTTAGGTAGAAAGGGGAAGTCATGAAGGTATCATGAAGAGATTTCCTTTATTTGAGTAGGCTGATGCCTTTTGCTAATTTCAATCTTGGTGTTAAATTTGTTCAAATACAATGTCTGATCTTTTGCCCAGAAATTGGCTGAAAAGTCAGATGATGAGAGATGGGGAAGGAGTTGAATGGTGGAGGGTGTGATTTCCTTCCTACATATTAAAAGTGGTATATTTTTTGCCCACCTCTAACCCAAAGAAATGATCTTATTCAAGGATGGAGTCATACAAATTCTTTTTTTTTTATTTAAAATGCATGTCATTCTGCAAATGGACACTTTTAGAAAGTACAGACATTTAATTGGCTTTGGGCATGGGTTTTATTTATTTTATTATTATATATCATGTTTTATTTTGTGAAAAGTGTTCTTACTGTATAGGGCAGGGGTAGGCAACCTTGGCTCTTTTATGACTCGTGGACTTCAACTCCCAGAATTCCTGAGCCAGCATGGCTGGCTCAGGAATTCTGGGAGTTGAAGTCCACGAGTCATAAAAGAGCCAAGGTTGCCTACCCCTGGTATAGGGATTGTACAAAAGGGTATTCTTGTTATTAGCCTAATGACTGCCATCTTGCTTCTGTACACTGCTTGCGTTAGGGACGCCATTTTGTGAAGGCAGGAAGATCACATACACAGACCCAGAGACAGGGGAAAGAGCGGGAAAGTTATGAAAGATGATTGATTAATATTCAGTGTGCCAACAAGTGTCACCTTGTGATTGGTTGTTATCTGTATAGAAACAGAAGTGCCTAACTGACCACTGTGTGGCACTTCTGAACACAGCTGCCAGTGTTTCAGAGAGTGTTCCACCCAGCAACTTCACTTGGCCAAATAAAGTTCTGTTTGACTTGGAAGCCTCCGCTTGAGTCTCCTGATTTGCCCTCTTGGAACCTCAAGTTCTTCGGGTAGCTGCTGACCCTTACAACTGTTTGCTCTTGCGTCCAGAGTAGATTTTAAATCTATTTCACACTTCATAATTTTGTATTGTGTTTGTTATTTTAAACCACCTGAGATTTTTTTAAAAATGAGACGGGGCTTTAGATAAATTAGCAAAACCTAAGAGATTAGCAGCTAAAACCTCCTTATCAACTCTATGGAATTTATGCCATTGGTTTACAACTTTGTCTAAAGGCTGCCCAGCTTGTAAACTAAGTGTATACTACTTTGTCCCGCAGTTGAACCTCTCAGGCAGATTAATCTAAGGAAATTTATGCCTGCGTGGCTCAGTGTTGCATATAAAACTCCTTGGCTTTGCACACCCTTCAGCAGCTTGGTATTGCACAGTGCAGCTCTCCTGAAACTCTGCCTGATTGGTTCATTTAGGTAGCCACCCCAACAGGATGGTTGGAGGACCTGAGTAGCCACTTAGGTTAATCAACAAATACCACACAGGCATGAGTGAAGTTTAAAAAGTGAGGAAAAACATCTTTATTGCCATCTAATCCTCAGGTGAAACTGCAGAAATGAAAATTGACATTCATTGTCACATTCTGCCTAAGGAATGGCCTGATCTGAAAGAGGTAACAATGGAGCCTTTGGATATTTGGTACAAAAACTCTAGGAAGTCTTCTAGTTCCTGATTGTTCTTGATGGTTTCACTAGTACTTTATCTTAGCTAGTTCCAACTTTTAAATATTTCCTTATATATATATATATATTCCTTTAAGACTGAACTCCATTAAATGAGAAACTAGGGAGATATTCATTTCGAAATGCTTCTGGTACTTTAACACTCTATGTTCAATATTTCGAACGGTGGTGTACATTTGAATTTATTGAAAAAAGGCCTCCTACTAACTGCTTGGTAAAGCAGAAAGTTTGGGTTCATGTATGTATGTGCCAGCTCTTTGCTAGAAAGAAAAAGGGGAGTCAGAATATTTATTTACTTTCAGCAGTTACGTTCCACTATATTCAAATTGTGACCATTAATAATGTGTAGTTTTAGTTTTATTATGGCCAAAAGAAAATGATTTGGGATGAATGCTGAATTTGAATACTATACAAAGAGAGATTTTGCTAATGGAAAATCCTTAGAATTCTTTTTAAATTGCTCTGAGTATATAAACATCTTTTTTAGTTTTATTCAGAATCAGTGAAAAGCAATGAATTGCTGTGCAGTGCAATTGAAAGACAATTTATTTGCTGGATCATATAGTATATTTAGCATTGCAGCTAGCTTCAGTAAATTTAGATGGATTTAGTTTATCCGAATGATACATTGATATTAACAATATAAATAAAGCTTTGAGCATAATGTGATCTTTTTTAGAATAGATTGTGATGCATTCATGAATGGCAGCATCTGTGTAATTGCAAAAATGAAAAACCACTTTTTTCAAATTAACTCTATTTACTTATATCCCTCGTGTTTCAAATTGACAAGCTTTATTTTGTAAATCATGTCTTTTACAAAGCTTCAAATTGCTTTTGAACAATATTAACAACATTTTACACTGATTGAATTAGCCAAATAACCTCAAATAAAAATCATTTAATTGTGAGTTTGACATGCTGTATTGCAATCCTCTTATTTTTCATTTCAGTATTACAATTACCTTGAATCTTTTTTCTGCCATAGGAAATTATAAATGAGATTTGTAAAATATGCGGCAATTAAAACATTGGCTAATGGATTATTTGTCTTACATAGTTCAAAGCAACTGCATGAAAATATTTGATATTATGAAAGATGGACCATTTATTTGTCTGAAGTGGCCACTTTTTCTCAAAAGAAGTTATTTTAAAATGTACCCAAAGATGAAAACAAAAAAGTGTCCAAAGGAAGCAATAAAGAAATCTAAAAATTTAATCATTAATTAATAATATTATTATAGTATTCATTTAAGATTTTAAATATATATATTTAAAGTGGGAAAGATAAGAAGAAAAACCTTTGAAAACAGCTCAGTTAAAATGAACTTGTTTGGTGATTGTTGAGAAAATAACTATGAAGGGTGTTGGCTGTGGAATTGAATGGCCAGAACAAGAGGGGGGGGAGGCAGATGAGGAAATAGCTCTTGTCTTCATATCTTGCTGTAAATTTGTCAAAAATATTGCCTGCCATTCTGGTATAAGAATAGATCTCTAGGTTCTTCAGCAAACTCAAGTTCACCTCCCAAAATATTTGAATATGGAGCAATGATACTGGTCGTATAAAATTTCACAAGAGTGTTTGATAACTCAATGACCTGCTCTTATATTCACGCAGCTCAGTTAATGAACATGTCGCAGTTGCTAACATCTCACTTCTGCACCTTTTTAAGCCAAACTCAAATATAGATTGACGTCAATCGAAAAACCACATCGCAGGATTTATGCCAGGATGTTGTTACTGATTTCTTAAGATGCCTCTTTGTGAACCTTTTTATGCAGAAAGAAAAAAGGCTGAGTACTTTTTCTCTTTGTGATTATGAGATAGTTCAAGCTGAACGAAAGTGAAGTAAAGGAAAAACTGGCCTTATTCCTGCCGTGGTATTTTCTGCCATCAGAAGGGCTACAATCCTCTTTGGGAGAATGAGGAGATATTTTGCTTGTGTACTTGAAGCCTTTTGCTGCTCTTTAAATATTAATAGACAAAGGTGACCTTCATCCTTACTATTGAAACATCCAGGCCGAACAGCGGATCAATACGTGACTGCACTAATTATTAACAAATTCTGCTCAGCTGAGATTATAATTTCACTGTACCTTTATTTTACGTCTGGTTACATAATGAAGACTGTAAGGTGTTCAGAAAAATCTGCCCTTATTGAGAACTTCATTATATGAGGGTTGGGAAATCAAATAGTAAAAGATGTACCAGGGGAAGTAAATCTGTCCTTCAATTAAGTTATAACAAAATGATCTCAATCATTTTGTATCAGGAAACCAGAATATTGACAGTTTTTTTCCAAGACCACCTTATATAGAAATACACTGTACTTTAAAAATGAGATTCATTCCACTCCATTGATGAAAAAAGGAAAGAACCCAATTTTAAAATCAAAATGACACATAGGGTTGGGCATTCGATCATTGGTTTTGTATTAGCTTCCTTTTGGTTTCAATTCATTACATAGGTCAATATCAACTTTGAAAAAAAAAGTTAAATATCTTGATATGATATGAATATTCTATTATATTCTTCGAATATAAAATTTCTTATTAAATGAAGGTTCTATCAAACCTGGGGTGCATAGAAAAATATCATTTTACTTCTTTTTCTGTCAGGTTTATATTTCTTCTTTTTTAATCACATTTAATATATATATACATTTAAACAGCAAAATACCACAGTGTTGTTGTTTTTTTCTCTTCACTTCATATAACTTGTCATATTTCTCCTGGTGTATTTACAGTGCAAAACATTACAGTTTTGGTGTAATATAGTATTTGCTATTAAAAATAATTGGTTTTTAAAAAGGAGATATGAATAATTATATTCCATTTCAATATAATTAGAATAAATAGTTTTGTATTTAAGTATGCATGTGGAACTGATACTTACTTACAGTTTGACTTTAAGCAATGAAGAATGTTCTATAGCAACTTACTCATACCTAAGGATCATTCCAGTTAAAGTTAAATACATCGGGAGAATATGACACTGCTACAATACATGTAGTCCTCGACTTACAACAGTTTGTTTAGTGACCGTTCAAAGTTACAACGGCACTGAAAAAAGTGACATGACCATTTTTCAAGTGACCTTTGCAGCATTCCCATGGCCACCTGATTAAAATTCAGCTGCTTGGCTATTGACTCATATTTATGACAGTTACAGGGTCATGTGATCACCTCTTGCGACTGTCTGACAAGCAAAGTCAATGTGAAAGCCAGATTCACTTACTAACTTAACAACTGCAGTGATTCACTTAACAACTGTCGCAAGAAAGGTCGTAAAATGGGGCAAAACTCAGTTAACAAATATCTCAGCAACAGAAATTTTGGGGTCAATTTGGTCGTACATCAAGGACTACTTGTATATTATACAGTCTGAATATAAAAGAAATGATTTGCTTGGTTTTAAATTAACATGACTTATTTAGTGGATGATAACGTATGATTTACTTTATGTATATTTGTTAATTCTGTCTTCCTTTTCACAGAGATATGGCTATGGAGGATGGGTTCAATTGGAGAAAGACCATAAGGTAGGTTAAGTTTGTGACTGATGATAATATATTGCTAAGTAATAATTATTAAGATATATATTTGAATTTTGGAAAAAAATATTCTTTTAATCATGCTGAATCAGGCCAGAGGTCTACCTAATTCAGCATCAGATTTCCAATGCAGCACTTCTAGGGTTTCCAAGAAGACTATAAAATGGTATTAAATACAATATCAGTTCCCACCTCTAGAGATACTTAGTGGAAATAATAGCTTGGAACTATACTGATAGATACATTAAGATAATAGACACCAACAAGTCTGACACTAAATGTCACTACTATAATTAATTTAGTGCGAACAAGTACTTGTCTTCTGATATTCTGAATCTGATGACAATTAGCTGTATTTGAGTCACACTATGGTATTATAGAAGTTCCTTTGGCTGTTTAGATTTTGTTCTTGATAAATGTATTTATTAGGTAGGAGCAGTGAGGATCCCAGAGTAAGAAGGATCACTTTAACAGATTTGCTCACCTGTTGCACCATCCCCATGATCACATGATCCAAATTCGGACACTTGGCAGCTGGTTCATATTTATAACAGCTGCAGCGTTATAGGTTGTAATATGGGGCAAAACTCACTGAACAACTGTTTCATTTGACAACAGAAATTTTGGGCTCAATTGTAGCCATAAATTGAGGACTACCTGTAACATAAAATAATGTAATATAAAATATAATTTTATACGGTCTAAAATGTCTGAACTTTTTGTGATGGTTGTATTTGATTGTTCAATTTTAGCTGACATAATTTCTTTAATTGTTAACTAAAGTTGACTGAGAAATGTAGCTGAGAAAATATTCTTCACTGATATTGCCCAAGAGAAATATAAACAGCAGAACACATTGAACAAAAATTACAAACGCGTGACTGGTGTCATGAATATTAGTTACTTGTTATTCCAAAAACTAAAAAATTGGAGGGATTTTTTTTTAGAACCTGCCCAAACCTGGAAAAATGAATATGCATATAATTTAGGAGCACAACATTATTATAAAATTACATCTGTGACCTAAAAATTATACTTACTTTATCTTTTCATGGAAGCAATCATAAATATATTTGTGAGAACTCTTCTTTCTGTTCCCATAAACATACAATTGTATGTCAGAAAGCTGAATTTTCCTTTATAAGTATGCACTATTTATAGTTCTTTTCCCATTCCACAGACTGCCCAGCCTTGCTCTTAATGGACCAGAAAGCAAATAAATAAATAATCTATGGAGGGAGTATGACGGCTATTGATTGTTGATATTCTTCTCAATTTTCTCTAGCACTTATTCTCTAGAGGAGAAACAACAACCAATGTATGCATTTGAACAAATATTACATTGCAAATGCTAAGAAGCTTGTTCCCATGGCTTTTGTCCTCTGAATCTTTGAGCTATTGTAATACACGTCTTCATAACAACTCTTATTTGAATCTCATTTGCTGTAAGGTCATTTCCTCCTAGTCACTCATAGGATTTTTGAGAATCAACCAACAGTCTTTGTGCCACTAATGAGGAATAAGCTTTATATTACTTCACTGATGGTTCATGGTTGTGACTCAAAAAGCTGCTATAAATTATTTGCGGAAGGGGGGTGGTTTCACCTAAAAGACATGTCTGTACGAGCTGAAGAAATGTATTTGCAACATTCAGTAGAATATAGTTTAGAACATGCCCTAGAGTTATGTTTGTCTATAAATGAAAGAAAATCAAAGATATATGAGTCTTATATAGGTTACATCAGTCTTGAAAAGTAGCAAAAACAGAGTTCTACTATTGACATCAGGAGTGTTTAGTGCAACTGGGGCATCTGTTTGGACTCACAATTCCTGCTTGAAGGACAGATGGCTGCTGTGGCCAAGAGACATTTGCCCAATTGCTTCTCCAAAGCAAATTATGAGTGTTCTTGGATCTGAAAACCCTTCTCACCATCATTCATGCCCATCTCCTCTCTGGATAATTGCAACTTGCTCTGTCATTGAAGACCATCTGGAAGCTTCAACTGATATGAAATACAGCTCCTCAAGCAGTTGTGGGAGTTCCAGAGTTTTTCATGTTAACTAGAGCTGCACTGGTTCCTGCTTCAGCTTCTGAGTGCAATTAAAGGTGCTAAATGTTACTTTAAAGCCATATATAAATCTCAGGGCATAGCTATCTATGGGATTGTCTATTCCTAGCAGCAGGGTAAGCTCACTGTGGCTTCCTTCCCATAGGACTGTCATCTACTGATGTCAAGCCTTTTTGTTGCCCCACTTGATTTGGAACAGCCTACCACCCAAGATCAGAGTAGCTTCTATCCTGTTTCATTTCAGGACAACTGTGGAAACTTTCCTAAATAAAGTCCTAGGAGGGGACCTAAGAAAAGTGGAATCTGATCTCTGGTCTATGGTTGGGTTATTTATTATTGATGGACTTTAATTCCTTCATCAGTAATGTCTGTTGTACTAAATGGCATGGAAATCCAAAATAAATAAACAAGGGAATAAATATTTTCTACAGCAAAAAACCCTAGAAGAATGTGCTGGATAAAGAAGGACCTGAACTGGTTAAATAGCAATGCTTATTGCATCCACATTTGTGCACAGAGAAATCTAATGTTGCTAGTATAATTATTTTCTCTGTTTCCCTCTGAAAACCAGAGTGACTTGCTGTGACCGAAGGTCTTTAAGGAACTTTTGGATTCTAGTGGTTTGTTATGCAATAAACAAGCAAATCATAACATTGTAGATAAAGAACAATTATAATTATATGGTACCTTCCTCAGCATTGAGGCCAGATTAGAAACATATAAAGTGATTAATGTGCTTGGCAATTTGGCAAACAGTTGATGGTGGATTAGATCCAAAGTTAAGTACAAACAAGCAAACAAAACCCCACAGATTTTATTTATAATGCATTCCCATCCAGAATGCAGTTTAGTAATTATTAATAAATAAGAACTAAACAGTAATTAAAAGAATATTTTGGAATAGGGTGGCCTTAAGAAATCTAATAAATAAATGCAAAAAGATAATAATATAAAATATCCATATATATCATTACAATCACAATAAAAATAATAATACAGGTAGTCCTTGATTTACAACCATTCATTTAGGGATCGTTCAAAGTTACAACAGCACTGAAAAAAGTGACTTATGGCTGTTTTTCACACTTACGATTGTTGTAGCATCCCGGTGGTCACATGAACAAAATTCGGACACTTGGCAACTGACATGTTTTTATGACGGTCGCAGTGTCCCAGGGTCAGGTGATCCCCTTTTGCGACCTTCTGACAAGTAAAGTCAGTGGGGAAACTGGATTAACTTAACAACCTTGTTACTATCTTAACAACTGCAGTGATTCACTTAACAACTGTGGCAAGAAAATGGGGCAAAACTCACTTAACAACTGTCATAAAATGGGGCAAAACTCATTTAACAACTGTCTCGCATAGCAGCAGACATTTTGGACTCAGATGTGCTCGTAAGTCGAGGACTCCCTGTGCTCAGTGATAAATGCCTTACAGAGAGCAAGGGAGCACTTATTTAATGGAGGTGTATTCTTCTGCCCTGAGCTGTGGTCTCAGTCCTACAGAGGTTCTGCTCTAAAACTAAAACTAAAATTCCATGAAGCAAAGTCAGGCGGGCCAAGAAAGGTACTGTACAGATTTTTTTTTTCTGGCAGACTAAATATTCAGAACTCACATAGCACTGAACAGCTTGGCGCAGCCCCGAGCTCACACTGATTTAGGGACAGACGATGCTGCCAGAAACCTAGTTTTAAACAGAAAGCAGCATGGTTCCATCATTTCTGGAGTTCAGAAATGTATTTATTTATTTATTTAAATCATTTATCTAGCCATCCATCTTTCAACCAACTCTGGGAAGGCTCCCAATCCAAAACTAACAGACATGTAAAATCATTTTGAAAACTATAAAGCTCCACCAGTTAAAACATGAAACATTAAAAAGAAAAATCTACTAAAACAAGTGTACCGTACTTCAATAATTGTCACTGGTTTCACTAGGAGTAAGAGGGAGAGTGCCTAGTATATTCTTTTACAGAGAGGCTAAGAATGATAACTGAAAACAAAGGTGAAATTCTTATTCAGAGAGTAATTCTTGATTATTATTGCCATTTTAGCCAAGAGATGCTTACAACTGGGTTAAGGCAGACTGTTGCATTATGAAGTGAGAAATGTTCCTATTCTTTAGTTGCCCCGTTAGTCCAGTGTTTCTCAACCCTGGCAGCTTTTAGAGGTTTGAACTTAATTCTTGGAACTCCCAGAATTACCTAGCCAGCTAGACTTATTTATTAAATAAGATTTATTAAATCAAAAGTTATTTGTATGAAATATATGAGAACCACTTTGGTTTAGTGGTTACAGAGAGAAAGCAGGAGACTGTGAATTCTAGTCCTGCCTTAGCCATGAAAGCCAGCTGGATGACTTTGGACCAGTTACTCTCTCTCAGCTCAGCCCACATCACAGGGTTGTTGTTGAAGAGAAAGTAGGAGCAAGAAAGTGTATTGTATTGCTATTATCCTTCTCATCTTCTCATCTTTTCTCATTCTCTCATCTTTCCTGCTATCTTCTATTGTTACCTTATGATTCATCACTTGTTGTTTATATCTCATGATTAATGATTTGTAACTATGATTTATATTCTATTACTTATCACTTATTTTTATGTACAGTGAGAGCTTCTGCACCAGAGACAAATTCCTTGTGTGTTCACATTTGGCCGATAAAGAATTTTAATTCTAAGCTATTTGTAAAAATAATAAAGGCAGGAATAAATAAATAAGTAAAATATGCTTTAAAAAATTCCATGAGCTTCAGTTTCCCAGCACCTAATTCTGAAATTGTTCTTCTTATTTCTTATTTTCTGTTCTGTTCTGATCAATGAAAGTAAAAACAATATTGGAACATGCTGCAGTAGAATTGCTGGGATATTAAATAAATGGATTTAGCTTCAAAAAGAAAATACCTTCATGGAAAACTCATAAATAGCTTGCAGTGCAAAATTAATTTTCTTGGATCCATTGATTCTGGCAAAGCTTTGAAAATTGGCCCCAAATTAACATTTAACTACAGATCTGACAAGTCAGTTTTTACTTTAAAATATCTGGATGATGAATTTCCATATTGAAGCTGATAGTATGAATATGATTTTTGCAACTTTCACAATAGGCAAAGCCCTGTCTGTGCTATTGATTCAAGCAGTTTGTTTGGGCATATACTCATTCTACTATTGCAGTGGTGGCAAACCTATGGCACGCGTGCCACAGGTGGCACGCAGAGCCCTCTCTGTGGGCACACGCACCGTCGCCCCAGTCCTAGGCCTTTAGCTGGGTTTTATAAAACCTTTTCACTTTAGGCCTCCACCGCCATCTGCAAAAAAAAAAAAAGATTCAATCAATTTCAACTTCTTGCGAGAAAAAAAAAAGATCTCGCAATGTTGGAATTGATTGATTGACTTTTTAGTCCCACCTAGTCTGCCGTTACCACTGCAGCCATGCCCACCCAATGGGCCACACCCACCCGGCACCCGACGATCCATAAGTGGTTTTTGGGTTGCAGTTTGGGCACTCGGTCTGTAAAAGGTTCGCCATCACTGTACTATTGTATGCTCATCAGGAAAGGTGTTTTGGCTCATTGGAGATTCCAACTCAAGGATAGCTCTGTTAAACATTAGAAAGACTACTGTTTATCTTGCTACAGCTGGCATTTATGTATGAAGGCTTAAGAGAATCCTTGGAGCAATTACAATCCTTTTAGCATTCAGCACTATAATGGTTCCATCTTAACAGCCTGCCTGAAAAATAACCGCATAGGTTATTGCACATATCAAAAATATTCTCATTGAGCTTAACAAAAATGAATCCTCAACATCTATTTTTATACAACCGAGTTATTTTGAATATCCTTTCCCCCCGTAAATACTTTCTCATCTATTGTTATGTAACAGTCAACAGAAAGCTCACATCCATTATTCATAGCCTGTAGAAATAGATGGTTAAAATTTGCTCTCCTTGCACTTTGGAAAATCAATTCTACAACAGTGTTTTGCCAGAGAACTTACATAATGGCTGTGTAATTATTTCCTGTGATATTTGGAACTATTTTCTTAAATCATGACAGTCACATTTAGGGAATGGGAAGGAGGATTTTGAGGTTCTAAAATGTATTAGTTATGAAAAATATATAAGCCCATAATACATTCAGTGTTAAATCCAGCTTTAGGATTAAGAATACTTAAGAATCCTATGCATCAAAATATGTAGAGATGTGCATTCAGACCCTTTAGTCCAACTGTCCTATTCTGATTCAGAAAACTATATAGCTAAAGAATTTCCTCTGCAAGTGATTATTTTTAACCTAAGAAATGAATTCAAGCTTATATTAAAAACTACTTTTTCTGATTTTCAGGGTATGCCTCTAAGGTCCAAATGCTACCTATAGGCACAGAATGAGACTGGAACTGGACTTATAAAAGAAATATCACTGCCTTCCCTGCCAAATTAAATGACTTCCTATTATTCATTTTAAATACTGTATACACTTTATACTAATACTGTATATTAGGCATGTTTCTTTTTTGCAGTTTTACGTGAACATCTCACATGGATTTTCTTAACTTTAGGCACCCTTTTGTAATATTTAGATAGTCATAAAACCATAAAATCCTATCCCTCCAAGGTTTAGAAAAGACTCTGAAGATCATCTAGTCTAATGCTTTGCCCAGTGCAGCAATCCTCTATTGAAACATTCTCAACAGATGGCCATCTAGTCAGAGGGTCTAGTCAGATAAAAAATCTCAAGCAAAGGAGAATATAACATTTTCCAAAGCACTCTGTTCCGTTATTAAATATCTCTTACTGTTAGATTTTTCCTGATGTTCATCTGAAATCCACTTCCTTCATATTTAAACCCATTGTTTCTTCTTTTCTGGAACAATTCTAAAACAACTCTACCTCATCTTCTACGTGGTAACCCTCAGATACTTAGAAAACTATCATTGTTTTCTGTATTCTTTTCTTCCCAGACTAAACACACTCAGCTTCTCCAGCCATTCCTCATAGATATTTTTTTCTGACTTTTATCATCCTGACTGCTGTCATTAAGACATGCTCCAGTTTGTTGGTGTCTTTCCTAAAAGGCAATGCTATATTCTAGATGTGGTTGGAACAGTGCAAAACTGAAAGGCATTATGACTTATTTATCCTATAAAGGAGGGGTCCTCCACCCCCAGTCCATGGACCAGTATCTGTCCATAGCCCATTGGGAATTGAGCTATGCAAGCAGCGGGCGAGTGCACAAAACTCTATTTGTGCAAGTGGCATGCATGTGCGCAAAATCATCCCCTCAGCCATCCAATAAGTTCTTCTCGCTTGGGTACAGTTTCAGCCTGTTTCACCCAATTGAGGCTGTCAAAGCCTCCAGACTCTGGGCAGATTGATAGTACCTTTTGTGTGGCCTGGAACTCGTGTAGTGTTATTCATCTGGGTGTCTTCCTTGTCCCGCAATCATCAATGGGAACTACCTACTGAGAGAGAAGGGCAAAACCATTGTAAAAAAAGTGTCTCCAAACAATACCTGCAGGTGGTCCTGCTGGATACCATGGTCGATGCTACAAGTCCTCTATCCATTGAGTTCATTTTACCAAGGACCAACTTTGTTCTCTTTTTATCCCTAGCTAAAAAACATGTTTAATTCCTTCAGATTTTTTTTAGTCATTAAGTGATTCCGCTTCTAATATTGTAAAACTTGCTTTATTATTTATCAGGCTTCATTTTTTTAAATTTAATTCAAAGCAATAAAAAGTAAAACAAGTGATTTTTCCTTAACATTAATAGAAAAATATCATTTTAATTATTCTAAAACCTCATGACATTTTTAGAAATGGACACTAATTAACTGAATCATTGATATTCTGGTGTGTGGGGCTACAGTGAAATTGCAAAATCTTCCTATCTTGGCTGCTTCTGCCAAACCAGTTTTTTTTTTTCCTACAAGATCACACAGCCAGATTTATTATTATTACTATGTTTTGTCACACAGTCAACCAGATGTTCAGACTGGATTTGGCATTTTTGTCCGCTTATCAAGGCCTTCCCAAGGACTTGAGATAGGCAATGTGGATGTTTGATGGTGCTACAGATATTGTTGCAGGATGACAGCTGTTCTGAGTAAAACTTCTTTGTGCAATTGATTGATGGTGAATTTGTTAATGCCAATTGTGTTCAAGTGGTGCTATAGCTGTGGTGGGATTGCACCTAAGGCATCTATTACTACTGGTACTACCTTTGCTTTTTTTAACCACAGTCATTCTATTTCCAAGGATCTGGGATAGGCAGATATTGTTGTTTGATGGTGTTAAAGGTATAGCAGAATGTAAGCTGCTCTAAGTAAAACTGCCTTTTGCAATTGACTAATGATGATTTTGTCCAGTGCTTTTTTTGTAAAAAAAAAAAAAAAGGTGCCGGAACTCACACACTTCATACAACCCGCCTTGCCTACCCTACAAGGTTCCATCCCAAAAAGATTTAAAGAACTCCATTCTGGGCGTTTTATGAGAAAAAAAGCTCTGATTTTGTCAATGCTGATGGTATTCAAGTGCTGCTCCAGATGTTCTGGGAGCACTAGTAATAATATCTTTGCTTAATTTTGCCATGTCATTCTACTATTGGGCAATTTTCTCCAGTTCTTTCTCTTTTGTTCTGCTGGCTTCAGGTGCTGCAACATTCACTATCCAGATGTTTTTGTCTTTCTTATCAACAAATATTATATACACAAAAATGTGAAATCCCAGCTGCCAGTTCTTTAGCTGGTGTTGGCCTTCATTTGCATCAAGTTCTTTAAGGTTGTCATGATGTAGTATATTTGTGGATCCGAGTAATGCAGCCTTTAGTAAATGACTGATGGAAATTTTATGAATGTGCAGATTTTCTAAGTGCCATTCAAGATTTTTTGCTATGCATTCAGTATGCCGAAAACCACTGGGGTCACTATGGTTGGTTTTTATGCCATAATCTTCCAATTTTGATTTTCATATCTTAAATTGTGACCTTCTCCAATTCTTTGTCTTCCATTCTACTATTTCCTGGTATTATTATTATTTTATCCTACATATACATACATACATACATACATACATACATACATACATATAATATATACATACATATATGCATAAGGTAAAGGTTTCCCTGTCCAGTTGTGTCCAACTCTATGGTCACTACCTTAACCATTACATGAAACTGGCTCATGTTATTATATAGTTTCAAAAATCTGTGGCCACATGGGAGAAGACCATACACATTAGGACAATATTACTGTAGCTTTACGGTAGATTTCTTATATGAGACACAATACCAGACAGGTATCTAATATTAGCTCAGTGTTACAGGAGAAAACTATGTTGCAAGAGCTCGCACACTTTTAGGAGAAAGTCAACAAAACCCTTTATGTGCTTTAAGACAATTTGTGAAATGTCTGAAGTAAATGAAAAAATGTGCTAACATATTGTGCCATACAATATATAAATGTATATTGCAGGGGGAAGCCAAATTGATGAAAGATGGAAAAGTTTTCAGAGTTATCCAAGAGAACTGTTGGGATCCAGAAGTTCGGATTAAACAGATGGACAAATCAGGTACCCTCAGCTTGAGTGTGTAGAATTTAGATACCAGTGTGCTATCAGCAGTTTTAATGAAACATTCCTAATTAACCTTTAAAATATATTTATGTCAAATCAGTTAAAGATTATCCACAAAGGACAACAAAATTATCTGCAACATCAAGAGGAGATTCTTTTTTTTAATGTCATGTCTGCTGAGGCTGATAATCAGGAATCCTCTTATACATGTTATCTGGGCATTGGTAACACTCAGCTCTATTTCTCCATTAACACCTATGCATGTTCTGAACCAGTCTCCAGTGGTATGATGGATAAGGGGCAATAAACTGAGGATGAATCCTGACCAAGACATATCAGGTAGATAGCTAGTTCTAGGTATAGATAGTTGGAAGATCGGCTGCATTTTTGTCCTCAGAAAGAAGAAAATAGTTGAAGGGAGGGAGAGGGGTTCTAGAGTATAAGAACATATGCCATACTCTCCTGGATCAGACCCCTGACTCTAACTAGTCTAGCTGTGTGTTCTCACTGGCCAGCCAAAGAAGGACCCTCCTCTCCCACCCAATGGCCTTGCAAGGCAGATCCACTTACAACAAGGCTAGCATAGACTGATCCCCATTTTTTAAAACTTTCCTGAGCAACATCTCCAATCAATTGCTTCAGCATATTTGAATGGGCACTATCAGGGATCCCGATTTAGAAGCATCTCTGTATTTATGGAGGAATAAGGTTGAAGATCAAATTCATAATGTTCTGAATTACAATTGGATAAAATTCCCAGAACTCAATTCATTTATATTTTTTGCTGCATTGGCACACCTGGGATTCTAGAAGTGAAGTATATTCTTTTTGTTGGCTGATTTGGATCACAAGATGTCCCAACAAGAGACAGGATATCCTGTGACATCAAGAAAGATTAGAGCCAGCAACAGAAAATGAATTATTTTAAATAATATCTTGCTTTGTCTATTTGTGTATTAAAAAGGTTGGTGAATATATTATTTGAAACTTTTATGAATTTTAACAATTGGGAATGTTTTTGCATTGATGAATTGATTTATTTAGTAAACTAATTGCACTGACTCTCTAAGGTATCTGAATGTTCCTTTTCCCCATAAATGTTATCTTCTTTTCCTCAAACGTTCTTATTGATAATACTTCTTCAAAAATTACATTTCAAGTATACAGCTCTTCTTGAATTTTATATCGGTTCATTTATTAAACCACAATTTAATTTATACTTCCTAATGGTGTTGCAATTTAGGTTAATTTAGGTTAATTTGGGTTGATCAACATTTGATCAGTTATACTGTGACTTTTCTATCCACACTGTAATATTCTCTGCTTAGAGTTTTTCCCTGATTTTGTAGGATAGTAGTTGGAGTGATTAAAGGATTCATGGTTTTTATTTTGGAGCTATTATTTTGTCTTTAACAACAAGTATAATATCTATTCAGAGTCTTTTCTGAGGATTCTGAGACTCTTAAATACATGCTATCTGTACTTACTCTGTGAAGGATGGCATTTGGTTCTTTCCTCCAAAAGTAACATTTTGCCTGCAAGTTTCACCTAACACCACCAAATTCCTGATTGCCCTGACAAGACGGTTGTGGAGGCTCTACAGATTTCCACACACTCCCTTCAAAAATGTAAGGATAAATAGTGAACAGGGTCCATTATTTTCTAAGTCAAAGAGATTTTTGTAACTTATACAACTGATGGCCATCAGTTGTTGGAAACTAAAAAATAACTTAATGTCTACCATTGACAAGATGTCTTTGGAAGCAATTCCTGTCACCATATATGGAAAAAACTGTAACAAAAAAGACATGGGTGCTGATTCAGCATTTTTAAGGCTCTCTCATTGCTAATGGATAAATCAGTTCATTATTTAAAGTCATGTATATCTTTTCTGTTCCATAGGAGTCTCCATTCAGGTACTTTCGACGGTTCCTGTCATGTTTAGCTATTGGGTAAGTCAATAGAAACAATTATTTTCATTTGTGCTGCAGCAGTCAAAAGCTACACGTGCAGAAAGAGAGGCAGTGGCTTTTGTAATCAGCCCCCTCTTCCAAACATCGGTTTGACACTCCCTCTCCCAAGTCTCTTCTGATACTGAAAAAGAAATACAGTGCTCAATGTCTTCAATAAATGGGGAAAAAATCCATGTTTTTGGAAGACTTGTAGCAGCTTGGCAGAACCTGCAGTATGGAAGGATGGAGTTTTCATTTTATTCTCCCAAAAGGCCTCATATCCTGCCCCACTTCTTGACCCTTGGAGTAGTGTCTTGTTATTACACATTGCCACCTCTTGTCTTGTAGGGGTGCCTCCCCAGGCACTTTTCCTTCTAACCCTGGCACATGAGGGAGAAAGGAGTACTTACCTTGGCAATTTACAAGACAGAAGTGAAAAATAAATAATTGCTCTAAGGCCAACTCTTGGCCATATAGTGTCAAAGTATATAAGACTAAGGATCTTAGCCCTTCTCCCTTTGGAAATAAATTAGTTTCAGAGTACTGTATAGACAAAATTATTATTATTTTTTAAAAAGACAAACTTATAGAAAAACTGTACTTAGTTTTACATTTTAGAAAGCAAGTAATCTATGCTGGAGAAGATATATGCAGTGGCGTAGCATGGGTTGTCAGCACCCGGGGCAAGGCAAGTAATTTGCGCCCCCCCCTCCACAGTGGGTGGTGACCCGGCGGCTCAGATCGGATTCGCACAGGCAGGGGCAGAGAGCTGCGAGTGCGAGCGCGCCCCCCCCAGATGTTGCGCCCGGTGCGGCCGGCCCCCCCTGCACCCCCCACGCTACGCCTCTGGATATATGAAGTACTTTTTTTCAGTCTGAAGATCTAGCAACTGCAAATAAATGGAACATAAAAAGAAACCAATGGAACATGTAAAAATAAATTTTGTACAAGATGATGCTGATTTGCTGCCAATTAGAGTAAGCTGACTTGCAATATATTAATGCCATAGGTTCCCCGAAGGTTTGGTTCCAGCTGACAGAAAAAGGCAATATTTTAAATTTATTATTCATTTTGAACTTTTTTTTGCCATAATGAACTGGATTTAGCTGCTTGGGCCATCCCAAAGATGGATCAGAATTAGGGATGTGCAAAATTCTTCATTCCATGGATAGAATGTTCTAGGCAACACTAGAACATTCTTTTTTTTTCCCCCAGACTATCATTTGCTCCATTTGTTCTGCAAATAAAAGGTTTGGAATCGTAAGTGGTTCATAATGTTCTGAATGAGAATAGTTTGCACACAATTATTCAGAAATATACAAAAGCCAATAGTACTAAGAGTTGTTGAATAGTGCCCCAGCAGCAGGAGGCATAGTGTATCTCTTAGCAAGTATTGCTTATAAGCAGCCAGTTCTTATTCAAAACCAGTCTTGAAGCTAAACTGGAATAATTGGTTCGATTCAAGAAATCTTGGAATTGGTTCACTAGTATTATGTATTCTAAATACCTCATCCAACCATACAATTTTGATATTGCCTGAGACTTGTTTCCAGAAGAAAGCAATGACAAGCATACTGTATTCTTTATTGTTCCAAACAAAACTACATGAGCATGAATTCACAAAAAGGAGATATCAGTACAATTTTCACAGGAGGGTACCATTGGTTAAAGTTTTAGGAAAATTCACCCTCCCTAGTTGTAGCTAATATTTCAACACCATGAAGAAATTTGTTCAAGCATGCAATTTTGATTTAGCAGAAATAACCTTTTTTCCTCCTTTTTTAACATGATGGACAAATGAAATGAATTAAAATCTTCCCACATTTAAATCCAGCTGACAATTAAAATTGGTATATACTCTTCCAACATAATTTTGTTGGAAATTACAGCCTCCCAAAATACATTTTAACTGTCATGGCGCCAATTCTACACATATTTACTCTTTAATTACTGTAGCTTCAGTCCTTAAGAGGCAGCAATGTGTTCAAGTATTAGCGCCGCCAGGAGAACTGAAATGATTGCAGAATTATAACTAGGACTGTAATCCCTTAGGTAAATTCTGCTCTTCCACTGTGCAATAGCTTTAACAGATATTGTTCCTGCAACAGGACTTTGCGTTAGAAATGTGTTTTTCAAGGGAATTGAATAAACGCTGCATCCATATTTTGTTATCCATGTTTTAGCCATTCAAAAGAGTAGTTATCAACAGTCTTACTTTGAAAGTATCAAACAGGGAAATGTCCAGGCATATTATCCCAGATTTATCTGCCACATTTGAAACAATTAATGAAAACCAATCAGGACTTTAGCAGAGATTCCCCCACCTGTTGGAGACATCTCTAACCCTTGAGTCACTCAAAGGCTGGCTAAGCAGTATGGAAAGAAATCATATTTTGGTTTGGATCCAAATATGCTACATGTTTGGATGTGTGTGTGTCATGGGAGAAAGCACAGAAAATAAAAGAAATACAATAATTGTTGTCTTAACCAATGAGCATATTCCAGTGGTTTTTTTTAAAAAAAATCTCAGAGCATCACCTGTGCCAATTTCTCAGGAAACTCTTCACTAAGAAACATTGCTGCTAATGGAAGTTACCATGCCAACAGTGTTCAGTTAGCAACATCAGTTGCAGCAAGCAATTCCTCTTGACGTCTAAAGCATCTACTTCTGTTCCTAAAGCCCAGCGATAAGTTAAAAATTACAAGAGAAAAAAATGTTAGCATGCGAAGGTGACTGTTCCAATAGGGATCTTTTACAGTATCATGTCTACCCAAAATAAAGTCATTATCTACATAATATTCCATGATGGATAATAGTTAACTGCACAGGTCATGGAGTTGGTGATGATGATTTGTTAGACTTTTGAATGTTTTTGCCTTGCTAGGAGAATCTAAGCGTGCTGCAGACATGATAGGACCATTAGTAGCTATTTCACATATTAAGTAAAGTGTCCCTTTCTCCCTGGATAGGCTAGCTACTTTCAAACATTTTGTATGATTCTGCTTGGCAGTCACAGTTTAAAACTAAAGCAAGAATGTACTAAAAGAGCAGAATTAATAGTGTCATATTCGGAAGTTTTTTTAATGAATTAAAACTTATTCCTTACTTCAAATTATTGTACTCCTGAATTACTGGTCTCTAGTAATTTTCCATACCAGCGTGCTGAAGACTGTGCCACCTATTAATTATCACAACAATATTTAACTTAGCAAAGAGACAGATAGCAAAAGCAGTTAAGTGAGTTTTGCCTCATTTTATGATCTTTCTTGTCACAGTTGTTCAGTGAATCACTGCCGTTGTTAAGTTAGTCGCTCGGTTGTAAAGTGAATCCCCATTGACTTTGCTTGTCAGAAGGTCATAAAAGGTGATCACTTGACCCCCAGGACATACAGGTCAATTGCCAAGTGTCCAAATTTTGATCACATGACCATGAAGATGCTGCAACAGTCGTATGAAAAACAGCCATAAGTCCCTTTTTTCAGTGTCGTCGTAACTGTTGCTAAAAAAAATGGTTGAAAGTTGAGGACTATCTTTACATGGGTTAATTGTTTCATCGAGTAAAAATACTTAGATCCTTTGGTTCTAATTAGGTATTATTTTCTAAAACTCTTTCTAGTTAAGGTTATTCATTCAGCCAATCCTTTCAACCTGAAAATGATGTTTTAATTACTCAGTCCTCTAATGATTCTTTCCAGGCAAAACCACAGGATACTCTAGACTTGTGTCAATTATTAAACAATGACTTAGCTGCTACAGTCAAGAGGCATCCCAAAAGATTCGTTGGACTTGGCACTATCCCCATGCAAGCTCCAGATCTGGCCGTGAAGGAACTGCACCGCTGTGTGAAGGAACTTGGATTTCCGGGGGTGCAGATAGGAACCCATATCAACAACTGGGAATTGAGTGCCCCAGAACTTGCTCCCATTTATGCTGTAAGTAAACATGTTCTGTCTCTCCTACCCCCCACAAGTCCTGTAATGAAAACGGTAAAAAAAAAATTCTATCTAAAAAACTTCAGTTTAAAGGCCTGAGATATCATCCCTGTTGTCCTCTATTTAATAATCTTTTAAATTCTCTCTTGGTGATTTAAGGCTGTTGAACAACTAAACTGCTGCCTCTTTGTGCATCCTTGGGACATGCAGATAGACAGAAGAATGTCTAAATACTGGTTTCCCTGGCTTGTAGGTAAGTAATTACTGTACAGGGTTGGCATTCTCTATGACAATTATTTATTTTATTTATTGATACTGGTGCAATCAAGAGACTTTTTTTTAAGTCACTTATGCAGACGGGAGGATTAGAAATATACAAGGATATTTTCTGACAGTCTCATTAAAGTAGGTACAAGAATTACATTTATGAAGAGGGATTAGTTACAGGTAGTCCTTGACTTACGACCACAACAGAGCCCAAAATTGCAGTGGCTAAGCGAGACAGTTAAGTGAGTTTTGCCCCATTTTACAACCTCTCTTCCACTGTTGTTAAGTGAATCTGGCTTTATTAAATTAGTAATACAATTGTAAACTGAATTTGTTTAAGTTAGTAATATGGTTGTAAAGTAAATCTGGCTTTCCCACTGACTTTGCTTGTCAGGAAGTTACAAAAGGTGATCACATGATCCTGAGATACTGCCACTGTCATAAATATGACCAGTTGCCAAGAGTGCGAATTTTAATCACAGAGTCAATGCACTTTTGGTAATATTTCACTTAAAGCTACATGGGACTGAGTACCTCTCTTATCACAGTTTGAAATACTGTATCCCACTGTGCTTTTCCAAGGAAGCTAGCACTCTCTGTCCTTTAGGACTCCAAGTAATGACACAAAGATTCTTATGGGTTGTATTGTGAACTCTCAGGGCTGACATCCATTGGTGCCATGTCAGCAGTTGTACAGCGTATTTCTGCTGTAATTCTAGAGCCCGAGTCCCCAGAGTTGAAATGGCCCAGAGTTTTCTTCTCTGCCCCTGCTCTTCTTCCTCTTCCTTGGTTGAAGATCTGTCCAAGAAAACTGCAAGAACTATATGGTATGATGCCATCATATTAGTACCAATCATTATTCCTGAATATGGAATTATTTCTTATTATTAGGCATGCCCACTGAAACAACCATTGCTATTTGCTCCATGATTATGGGAGGAACTTTTGAGCGCTTCCCCAATTTGAGAGTTTGCTTTGCCCATGGAGGTAAGTATCAGAGCCAAGGTAGTATTGTGATTATATTATTGGTGTAGAACTGCAAAATCTCTCAGCCATGACAATTCAGTTGATGATCAGTCCTATCTCTAAACCCAACTAACCACATGCTCTTGCTGTTGGAGGGACAATCATGGAGGGAAGAATATGCCACTTTGTACTCGTCCAGAAAAGGTAGAATATAAACTAACACATAAAACATATTTTACATTTTTTAGGTGGTTCCTTTCCTTACACAGTAGGACGTATCTCCCATGGATTCAAAGTGAGACCTGACTTGTGTGCAATCCATAACAACACTGATCCAAGGCAATACCTTGGTTCATTCTACACAGATTCATTGGTTCATGATGAGCATGCACTGAGGTTGCTGATAAACATAATAGGAAAGGTGAGTGAGAATCTACTACAAGATACTGTACATCCCTAGACTGTAAACACTATTCCACAAAAAAAGCCTTTGAGACTGCAGGCCAAATGAGACTTCATTCCATTCTTTCAATTAGCAATGGCATGAACATTTTCTTAAAAATGTAGCAGTAGTGGTATTTCTGATAGACTGACATCCTGATAGAAGTACAGAGCTTTAGTTCTGTTTTGTTTTGTTTTGTTTTGTTGGAGATTGAAACATTCTGTGTTTTATTCCTTAAAATAAGAATTTGACTACATCCTATCAGGAAAAGAGCAGGAGAACCAGTATTCTGTGCACGTGTGAATGGAAACAAAAGCAGAAGGATGTGACCTGAGATTGGCAATCCTTTTGACCAAAAGTACACAGGCTGATGTATTAAAAAAAGGAAGAGATACAGAACAAGTCCTTAACTCTTTATCTACCTACTGATCATCCTTATGATCTGTAGGTTATGAGGTGCTAAGAAACCTGTCCCCACAGGAGTTACACTTCCAACAGCTTTCACTTCCTACTGTGATTCCACTCCAGTTTCCTATGCCTGCAATTTGTTATGCTATGGCACCAGAGAACAGAGTTCCAAATCTAGATAAGGCTTGCAGTAATGGCAAAGAAGTGTAACATCCTACCCATCTTCAAATTCCCATACTAAGTTAGATATCGTAGCTTGCAGTTTACACTTAAACATATTCACAACATTGCTATGTGACTTATGGCTGGCGTAGCTTTTTGTTTTTGGTCAGTTACAGTTCCTTCTCTTGATTTATTCATTGGACAAAGATAAGCCAAAGATAAAACAAGTTGTCATCAGGAAGAGGCTGAATCTTCACCTCTCAGTGTTCTCTCCTTTCCCATTTTTTCTTTAATAGCAAGATAGTAGATAGCAGTCTAGTCTGGGTATTAAATAACTATTTAAAAAATATGTCCTTTCCACACAACAGCATAGCTAGCACACCAGTCTTAACCAGGTGCAAACCATTCCTGGCCATTAATGCTTCTCTAGATAGCTATAACACCATAACCTCTGGACAGCGAACACCTTGACCATTCTAGATGATAGCAAAAAATATTAAAAACTCTAGATCTTTTCTGCCATCTAATAGTGGCCTAGATTTTTGCAGCCCAAATATGTAGGTTTTGGCACAGGATCCTAGGAGTCCTGAATTATACATTTAGTTTTTCATATAAAACACAACACTGGTTAAAGTATAGTTACTGTACATGGGCTGCAAAAATTCAAATAACCTTTAGATGGCAGTAAAGATATATCTTTTTACCACTACCGTATTTAGTGTTCTTCCAGCTTTGTGCAGCCCAGATGTAGTAGCTCTAATTTACAGCCTGTTATGAATGCTCATATTCCTCAATACTTATGTCTATATTAAGTCTTTATTATCTTTATTCTTATTTGTTGTTATACAACAAATACAGTCTATAAGGACTGTTTCAAAACCGTCATAGTCTCCCTGGGACAATTGCATATTAATGACCCTTCAAGCCAAATATTTGGGTGATTTTCCCTATTCCCCTCCCAAATTGCAACATTAGAGCAGTGTAAATCAAATTTGCTGTAAAAAAGAATTCTATCTGAATATCTGCTATTGAAATGACTCACATTAGGGAACAAGCAGAAAGAAAGTTTGTAGCAATTGATGACCATAATGCAAAAATACTAGATAATTACAATAGTGTTCAATTATTCCTTGCATGAAATTTACAAGGGGAAAAAATTCACCATATCCTTTTTGGCAATTGCATCCTTCTCCCCCCCCCTCCTCCCCCTCCTCCTCCCGCTCTGCCTCTAGAACTGAAGTCCCCAACCTTTTGGGCACCAGGGACCGGTTCCATGGAGAGAGGTTTTTCCGCAGATCAGAGGGTGCATGGTTTTGTGTGCTTCCTGCATCCCACGGATGGGGCTTTGCTTGTTTGTACGGACCAGTTGCTGGCATGCTGTGGCCCGGTACTGGTTCACGGACCGGGGGTTGGGGACCCCTGCTCTAGAACACACCCATTAGTAAAGATTATGCATTACAAAGCCCCTCAGATCATATCCACGTTTGATTTTACAAATTAGTTTGCTTCAAGAAACTGCTTTAATAAATTTTGAAAAAGAATCACATTATGCATAAAGAGATGTAATAGTCTTCATCAGTCTTACCTGTCCTACTAGGTGCCACTATTCAAAATATTTCCCATCTTTTCTGATGTTTATTTCCATTTTGTTTGTTTTGTTTTACAATATCATCCCTCTACCACATACACACACACAAAAGCAGTCTAGCCTGAAGTAGGCATCTCTGTTATGACATAAAATAAAAGTGCTTAGATCGGAGGGTTTCTTTCAGAACCCTGTGGGGACCCCTACTGGAAATAGTATGCAATAGCAAAAAAGGAAATGTGCTTTCCTCCCTCTGCATCACCAATTGCAAGGACTGTAGAAAAACAAAATGTTTTTTTTTTACTCCCAGGTCCAATAAATTGGACTTTACTTCCAATAAATGAAACCCACATTTTTTTTTTACATTTTAGTCTATATGCCTAGGAAGTATTCTTCTCCAAGTTGCTCAGTATTCGTCTGTGTTAAAAGGCATACTTTATTCTCAGAAAACTCTGCATGATGGAATAGGATGAGAAGAAACACAGGAATTATTTATAATGAAGGAAAACATCAGTTCATTACTGATCATAATATAACTCATCTTCACTAATTTCTTCCTTTCGGGACAAGATATACTTTTAAAAATGAACAGGATTAAAATTGTAGATGGAACATAGATATCAAAACTATTTGTAGCCATTATTAGTGGCGAGATAGAAATATATATGAAAGGTTAAATTGATTGTCTTCAATCAATAAAGGTTTATCAAATTCTCCTTTTTTCCTTTGTATGTTACAGATATTCACTAAAATGCTCTAAAAGTAAACCAATCTTATTTTTTTTCAATTTCAGTATCAATTGAATGCAATTTCATTCAGGGGTATCTTGGGGGTTAAAAGTCAGCGATTGAAATCCTACTCCCTTTTTACGTGTGTTGCTTGTGTGATGCATGTAGAAAAACATGGTGGGCTACAGTCATGTGATCATGGCCACCATGTTGGACTTTGTCTCATCTCCTGCAGAAGCCTTTGGTTCAAATACTTTATTAATATTGGTCATCAACTGTATGCTGTCTTTCAAAACCAGATTCTATATTTTATTCAGAATTATTATCCTCATTATCATCTATCTTTTAGTAAATAAAAGTGAGAAATTCTTACTGAAATACATAAACTATTTACTTTTATCTGTAGAAAATAATGTAATTATATCAGAAATATCTTTCTCATCTTTTCTATTACTTTCTCCTATTGATATCTTATGATTATATCACTTTATTGTTGTATATACACTAAGAGCTTATGCACCAGAGAGAAATTCCTTGTGTGGCCAATCACATTTGGCCAATAAAGAATATTCTATTTCTAAATAAAGAGAATCCTTTAATAAGGAAAGAGATATTTATCTCTTCCAAGACTATTTAATGTAAGTTTGCAGAAAAGCTTACAAAAATTTAAAAAGTGCATATCTATTTATCCATCCAATTCCATAGTTTTATAATGATTCCTTAAGATGAAAAACAAACATCCCTTAAATGCCAACAGATCAATCAACCTACTTGTTTCTATTTTCAGGAGAATGTGATATTGGGAACAGATTATCCATTTCCACTTGGGGAACATGAGCCTGGAAAACTGATTGAATCAATGGAGGACTTTGATGAGCAATTAAAAGTATGTTATCTGATTTTGATTGTATGCTTTTATGTTTAATGTGGCTGTCAGTACTGTAATTTGTAGTTCATTGGCCTTTGTTTGAGGCTTATATGACATATCTATTATTTAAATGTAAGCTTTTAGTCAGACAGACTTCTTTTTAAGAAAAAAAAGTAGAATAAGAATAATGTAAATAAAAGTTTATGAGACAATTCTTTGCAAAAATTTACAATGGGGACAATTTTTACAAAATTTTGCTTTCAAGTTAGTTTTGATTCCTAGTTTCCATAGTTTCCATAATTTTTCTTGTTTGGAGGTAGTTTCTCATTGTTTTCTCCTAAGGTTGCAAAGGAATAACAAGCCCAAAATTACCCAGCTGGCTTCCATATCTAAGTCAGGCCTAGAATTCAGGTTTTACCACTCTTACTTCAGCACTTTAACTAATGGATCAAATTGATTCCCACACTGAATCATATTTTGAAATATTTTGAGATATTGGGAGTAAAGCTAATATGTGGTCATTTATATTTATAGGAAATCTGAAGGCAAGAATGGAAGAGTTTATAAAATGTTACTTTTTCATAATAACTAGTCCTCTGAATAAGTGAGAAATAGACTGTAATACCACCACCGATCCCAGTGCCGCAAATTAAAAAAAACTTAATAGGAAAGAACAGAAACTCCGTATAAAAATTCTAAGGTTATTATTTCAGTATTATGGCAGTGAGATTTTTAAAGTAGAATACCTGCCTCCAGAATAGAAGAAATGTTGCCTCTTTGGGCCATTTACAGTAAACCTGTTTTGCCCTACCATAAACTAGACATCCATTCAAAGCCTGGCAATGAGTCACCCTTTTTTTTATATCATCACCCACTGTCATTTTAAAAAACTGTAGGAAATTAATGTATTAAATTATTTTAATGTGTAGTGAATAACTGAGTAGAAAACTATCCAGAAATTCAAAAGCTATAAATGTGTTTGTTTGTTTTTATTTAATTTATATGCAGCCCATCTCACTATCAAGCAACATTTGACAATAGTATGTCAAGTTATGTCGGGAAGCTTTAAAAAAGTAATTAAAAGTTTCCGTGACAAAAAATTAAATGTTTATGATTCTGTGTTTGAAACAGTGGGCACTTTTTCATGAGGAGAAATTTAAATAGTAACCAGGAATCAACTATGATTCAATAGAGTTTTTACCTTATCTGTTAGAGAATCCATGCATTTTTTGCATCAATTTTACTTTTTGATATATGNTGTCCTTAACTTCCAGTCCAAGTTATCTCTCAGCATTAGTTGACAGAATAGGAAGGACTGAACATTTCAGTTGCAATGACACTGATATCTGATGATAATATATTGATAATCTGCTCTGCATCTGGAGTAGCATATAGTGATTAAAAATCAGATTAATCTGAGAATAAGATGAAGATACATTACATTTAGCAGATTTTTCAGGCATACTTATCTGTTTATCTATCTGTTCTCCCCACAACATTAGCATGTTCTGAGAGATTCTGAGAAGCAACTACTTAATGTGGTTCATTGTAATACATAATTAATTTATGAATTGATTTACAAACAGTAATTCATTGAGTATTTTGCACGTCTATGTAATATTTGTTCATGCTTTCTCAAAATCTTCATTCCTTTCGTTACAGGAGAAACTCAAATCTGGCAATGCATTTTCATTTTTGAATATTGACAGAAAACAATTTGAGTAATAGAAGAACTGCTGTAATTATAAATCAACACTTTTAGGTTCTGGAGGACAACCATAAACCTCATCTTCATATTTATGCAGTTTCATGCCAATTTCAGATAATATACATGTACTGAAAACGTGAATCCGGGTTATAATAAAAGCTTATAAAAGCTGTATGAGCCAAGAACTTTTTGAGAAGTTATATAGTTGTAAAAAAAAATTCTTGTTATATAGGGAATGGATCATTTCAACATGACATCAATGAATTATTATCACTTAAATTTAGAAGTCTGCCTGCCTTACACAAAGTTTACACTGTTACACAAAGAGTTGGAGGGTTTATTTATTTGTATCCTGCTTTTTTAATTTTAAAAATAACTCAACTTGATAAACATTTCCAACATACTTTCCTCCTCCTATTTTCCCCACAACTGAGAAATATTTACTGTAGTGGGTTGACCTCATACTGGGCAAACAGAACCCGTAGTAAGTGCTCCATAAATTACTGAAGACCTGAAAGTTTATATCTCAAGCTCACCTCTGACCTAATATCATTTCCCCTTTCCTTTCTCTCTCTGCCATGCACCTCCCCAAATCAGGCAAGACTGTTTAAGGAGTCTACAATCTATGACCACAATTGAGCCCAAAGTTTCTGTTGCTAAGCAAGACAGTTATTAGGTGACTTTGTCCTATTTTGCGACCTTTTTTGCCACAGTTCTTAAGTGACTCATGTAAGTTTTTAAGCTAGTTGGGAGAAGGGCGGGATATAAATCAAAATAAATCAAAATAAATAAAAAAATGGTGAATCTGGCTTCCCCACTGACTTTGCTTGTCAGTGGGTGATCACATGACCCTGGGACACTGCAACCGTCATAAATATGAACCAGTTGCCAAGCATCCAAAATTGGATCACATGACCATGGGGAGGCTGCAATGGTCATATGAAAACTGGTCATATGAAAAGTGGTCATAAATCACTTTTTTCAGTGCTGTTGTAACTTTGAACGGTCCTAAAAGAATAGTTGTACATAGAGGACTACAGGTAGTCTTCGAGACTTACAATGGTTCACTTAATGACCATTTAAAGTTACAATAGCACTGATAACAGTGGCTTATGACAGTTTTTCACACATCCGTTGCAGCATCCCCATGCTCACATGATCAAAATTCGGATGCTTGGCAACTAGTTCTCATTTATGACGGTTGCAGTGTCCCAGGGTCAAATGATTAGCTTTTGCAACCTTCCGAGAACCAAAGTCAATGGGGAAGCCAGATTCACTTAATAGGCGTGTTACTAATTTAACAACTGCAGTGATTCACTCAACAACTGTAGCAAGTAATGTCGTAAAATGGGGGGGAAAGCCACAACTTTCTTACTTAGCAACAGAATGTTTGGGCTCAATTGAGGTCATAAGTTGAGGACTACCTGTATCTGTTTTTATCCAAATGGCTGACTTACAGATTCTTTTAGGGATACATGTGCTTGCTTTGGCTTTCCATGTCCATTCAAAACGATGGAGACATATCCAGATTCAGCATTTTTCTGAAAATCAATGTTAGAACATTTTCCCCAAGTCATGACATTTAATTTGGCATTGTTGGAAGTCTTCATCATGGTTCATCAAGAAAAGTCTTCATCATGGTTCATCCAAGCTGGGAATAAACATGGCAACTGCTTTGGGAAGAAGGTTGTAATTTATTGGAGAGGAGAGCCAGACAGGAAGATGGTTCTGGCAGCAAGAGAAGTGAAAAAAGGACTGAGCACATGTAGGAAGTGGATTTTTATACTCTCTGGAGCCTTTTGTTTGGAGTTATTTCCTGTTCCTGTTTTGAGGCTATTTCCTGTGTCATGTATTCTGACCTGAGTTTGGGTGTGCCCTTTGGCCTTTGTGAGTTAATCCTACCATGTCCTGTCCCAGGTGGGGTATGCAGATTTTAGGTCTTTGTCCTCTTAATCTCCTAGCTCCCTGGATTTACATCTGCATCTCTATAGAGCTGGTTTCTGCTTGGGGGAGGCAGACTTGGGGCTATTAAGAAAAACTGGGCCTGCTTTTCTGTCTCTTTAAGATCCTTTGAGAAAATATATTTTTCTGCCCTTTTAATATTTCCTTCTCTGGGGGGCTGACTTCCCACAGCATTATGGGACTTTTGAATTTAGAGAGTTTTACAAAGCAGTTGAAATGAAAAATACCCACAAGGCTACTCTATGTAAGACAAGTCTGTAATAGGGTGATGAATGAGGAGGACATTTTACCATTATTTTGAAAGATAATCTAATGCAAGTTACAGGGGGAATGGTTTTTCAACAGAAGCACCCATCTAGCAAGAAACAAATGAGATAGATTAAATCAAACTGGGATCCCTTTCTGTTAATATTGAATTACACTGCTTTCAGCAAGACATTTAAATATTTTAATGCTACTAAAATGCACCGTGCACATAGACCAAAGCTAAGATGAAGTCCCCTATTTACTATTATGGCCGAGTGGACTCGCAACCATTCACTAATAACACCTTTTTTAATGGACTATTATTTTTGACCCGAGAAAAATCTATGGAGAGAACAAAAATTCCGAAGAAATCAGGACTCTTCTTCTGTATGCACGAAGCAACCGAGTTCCCGTCTCTTGAGTTTCTATTATACCAGGGGTCCTCAACCTTGGCAACTTTAAGACTTGTGGACTTCAACTCCCAGAATTCCTCAGCCAGCAAAGCTGGCTGAGGAATTCTGGGAGTTGAAGTCCACAAGTCTTAAAGTTGCCAAGGTTGAGGACCCCTGTATTATACTGATAAACAGCCTAAGAAAAAACTTCGGCGCACCCTCTAACGGAGAAAAAAAAACAGTGTTAGGGGGGAACGTCCTCCGAGTCGATAGGGGCACTATTTTAAAACTGCACTACGGTAGTCCTTCGCCAGCCTTTTCCTTTCGCTCCAACCCCCCCAGCTTGCAACTCTATGATTTATTAAAGCCAGAGTATTGCCGAGAGAGCCGGTTTGGCCGCGCTTTGTCCGAACTCTCGCGAGAGGCGCCGCCATGGAAGAGGAGGAGTCGGGCGCGCCGGCGGCGGGTGTTGCTTCGGGAGGAGGAGGAGGAAGTGTCATGGCGGCGGCGTTGGGTTCCGGACCTGGCGCGAGTTCGGGGTCGCGCGGACCTGGCGGAGGCGGCCTAGGAAGTTCGCGCTGGTTTTTCAGCCGGGAGCGGTTGGAGAACACGCCGTCGCGCCACTGCGGCGTCGAGGCCGACAAAGAGCTCTCCTACCGGCAGCAGGCGGCCAATCTCATCCAGGATATGGGCCAGCGCCTCAACGTGTATCCTTAAGCGGCGGGCGGCGGGCTCCGGGACGGGGCCGGGAGTGACGTCGGCGGGTGAGGGTGCTCGGAAGGGAGCCTTTCGGGGTGACGACGCCCGGTCCCGGGTCTTTTGGAAGGCCGGCGCGATGGCGAGCCTGGGAGGGCCTCGCCTGCTGTGGCTCCACCCCTCGGCCTGCGCTCCTGTCTGCAGGGGGAGAGTCGGGAAGGCGCCACAGGCTCCCCCGGGAGTGGAGGAGAAGAAGCGAGGCCGAGTTCGGCGCCTGTTGGCCTCCCTCGTGCTCCGGGGTGGTTTTAAATAAAGTTTTCCACGCAGACACGCGAGTTGTCTTGTGTAGCCCCGCTCTCTCGCTTGCACGGGTTGGCGTTGTAGCAAAGGGCTTTTACGACTGATTGCAAAGGATCGCGGTTGTATAATGGCTGCTAAGCACGGTTTCGGTATAATCTCAGACTTGTTCCGTCAGTATTATTTTATTTCAGTTTATTGTATTTCAGTTTATTGTATTTATATCCCGCCCTTCTCCAGGTGGACTCAAGGGCGGCTTACAGCCAGTTAAAAAACAGAGCAGTTGATACAAATATACAAAATTTAAAATAAATTAAAAGATATATTTAAATAGGCCTTTTCTTATTTTAAAAGTTGATTAAAATCCAATTTAAAATATCCCTAGGCCAGTCCTGCCAGCTGAAACAGCCATGTTTCTCTTTCAACCGGTTGCTGCTGGGTTTTTTTAAATTGCGATTTAACAGGGACTGTATTAATACATCTTGTTGGTTAAGCGAAGTTTCCCCCAAATGCTCTCTATATATCAGTTAGTCAAGCGTAAGAGATTTGATGCTTTTTCTTCATGTGGTGGGTAAAAAGTTTGGTGACAGAGTTAAGGAATAGACGGCAGTTTTTTTCCCCCACTCACTGGCAAATACCGTTTTTAGACATTGAATGTAATCGGTGGAAAAGAAATTTCATCCAGGATTTTTTTTTTAAAAAAATGGGAAATGTTTTGAATAAGAGTAAAATGTTTTAAATAAGAGTAAAACAATCTAGGGAAGTTAAACGTCATATAAATAAGGTTATTAAGTAGAACTTTTGATATTTTAGAGTAATGAAATTGAAAACAGCCTCTCCTGGTATTCTCAACAGTTTTTCAGGAGTTTTGAAGTAAGGAGGAATGACTGCTATCATAATTTCTGTAGTTCTGAATGCAGACTGAATTAATACCAAATACCAGAACATATTTAAGGAAATGTAATGACGATATCAGAGTACTTTCTGAGCTAATATCAAATCTAATGTAGATCAACATTTTGCTGAAAGAAGTATTAGCTGATAGCTGCTCTTTATCATAAAAGTAATCCCACTACTGATTTTTTATTCAATTTCTATAGATGTCCATTTCAATCTAGTTGACTCTAGTAAGCTTATCTCAAAAAGTTAAGCAGATTAGGATCTGGTTATTACTTGGATGACACTCTGCCAGAAAATCCAGAGTACTATTCTAGATTAGCAAGTAATAAATTCCCAGCAGAAGGCAGTGGCAAACCACTTTCATATTGCTGCCAAGAAAATTGCATGGACGTGTGTCCATGAAATCATCAAAGTTGCTTCAACTTGAGAGATTTCTTATTTCATAGAATCGGAGTTCTTACGGGTCATGTAATGCAAAACTGCACAGTGCAGATCCATTAGAGCATTTTTAGAAATAAACTTGT